ATTTCTGATAAAAACTCTGAGCAAAATGGGAATAGAGGGATCATTCCTCAACATAATAAAGGCCATATTTGACAGACCTACACCCAACATCGTACTCAACAGGCAAAAACTAAAACCATTTCCCTTCAATACAGGAACAAGTCAGGGATGTCTACTTTCACCACTCTTATTCAACATAGTAATATAACTCCTTGCCACAATCATCAGAGAGGAAGAAAACATCAAAGTTATCCAAATTGGAAAGGAGGAAGTAAAAATATCATTATTTGCAGATGACATGATATTGTACATAGAAAACCCTAAAGACTCCATCTAAGCACTACTAGATTTGATAAACAAATTTGGCAAAGTAGTTGAATACAAAATCAACGTCCAGAAATCAATGGCATTCTTATACATCAACAATTAAGTTTCAGAGAGAGAAACTAAAAAAACAATACCATTCACCATTGCAACTAAAAAAATAAGATACGTAGGAATAAACTTAACCAAGGATGTAAAAGACCTGCACTCGGAAAACTACAGGACACTGAAAAAAGAAATAGAGGAAGATATAAACAAGTGGAAGAATATACCATGCTCATGGTCTGGAAGAATTAATATCTTTAAAATGTCCGTACTACCCAAAGCAATTTATAAATTCAGTAGAATTCCTATTAAAATACTAACAGCATATTTCACAGATCTAGAACAAACATTTCAAAACTTTATATGGAACCAAAAAAGACTCCAAATAGCCTCAGCAATTTTGAGAAATAAGAACAACGTTGGAGGTATCACAATACCAAATGTCAAACTATAATACAAAGCCATTATAATCAAAACAGCCTGGTTCTGGCAAAAAAAGCAGGCATATAGATCAATGGAACAGAACAGAGACCCCAGAAATAGATCTGCTCCATTATGGTCAATTAATATTTGACAAGGAGGCAAGAAAGTACTATGGAGTAAAAATAGTCCCTCTAATAAATGTTGGGAATATTGGACAGATACATGCAAAAAAATGAAACTAGACCACCAACTTATTCCATACATAAGAATAAATTCAAACTGGATTAAAGACTTAAAAGTAAGTCACAAAACCAAAAAAACGTGGATGAAAACATAGGCAGTAAAGTCACAGAAATCCCATGTAGTGGAATTTTTACCAATACATCTCCTAGGGCAAGAGAAACAAAGGAAAAAATTAAACAAATAGGACTACATTAAACTAAAAAGTTTCTGCACAACAATGAATTCATCCTCAAAATACAAAGGAACCCCACAGTATGGGAGAACATATTTGCCAAGGATGAATCTGATAAGGGGCTAATTTCCAAAGTGTACAAAGAATTCATACAACTCAACAGGAGGAAGGCAAACAATTCAATTAACAAATGGGCAAAGGAATTGAATAAAATAGACACTTCTCCAGAGAGGACATACAGATGGCTAAGAGACATATGAAACATCCTCAATGTTGCTAATCATCAGAGAGATGCAAATTAAAACTACAATGAAGTATCACTTCACACCTGTCAGAATGGCTGCTATCAAATCAACAAATGACATGTGCTGGTGAGAATGTGGAGAAAAAGGAACCCTAGTGCACTGATGGTGTGAATGCATGCTGGTTCAGTCACTGTGGAAAACAGAGTGGAATTTCCTCAAAAAATTCAAATTGAACTGCCCTTTGACCCAGTGATCCCGCTTCTGGGAGTATGTCCTATGAATCCTGAAACACCAATCAGAAAGAATATATGCACCCTAGGTTAATAGCAGTGTTATTTACAATTGCTAAGATCTGGAAACAGCCCATGTGCCCATCAGTAAATGAGTGGATATAAAAGCTGTGGTACATTTACACAATGGAATACTATGCAGCTGTAAAATAAAAGGCTCTCTTATTCTCTTGGAGAGCAGGGATGGACCTGGAGAATATTATGCTAAGTGAAATAAGTCAGTCAGAAAAAGAAAAAGATTACATGATTTCAGTTATATGAACAAAATAACCCAATGAACAAAATAGGTCCAGATGCATGGATGCATGGAACAAACTGATATATCTGAGAGGGAATGTGGAGGTGGTGGATGGGAGGGGGAGAGAGTAACCAAAGCAAGTATATTCAGATATGTGTAGCCTATGTGCATAGAATATAGTGTGGTGAAGGCCTGGGATGTGGGGGTGGGTGCCTGTTATAAGGGGCCAATGGAGTAAAAATGTGGACATCTGTAATTCTTTCAACATAAAAATAAATTTAAAAATATATTATATATATGTGTGTGTGTGTGTGTGTGTGTATAAATGTAATGTCCAGATGCTTAACCCCTTTGTTTAGTGAAAAGAAATAATCATTTTGATGTTCTTAGTTATGTTACTTAAAGTTATATTTTGGTCATTTAAGTTAATGAATATTTTTCTCTTAGACATGTGCTCTTCAATGAGGTTCACACTGGAAATCAAACCTTTGATTTCAGTTTGTTCCACAAAATAGGACCTTCCTGACAAGGGAATCTAAGTACAGTTCTGAGCTTGACTGGTGGTTGCCCAATAATAAATTCAATTATTTCCTGACTCAATGTAGAAATTTTACACAGTTGATGAAAGTTTGTTTTCTCTTGATTTATTTAGGGTAAGTTATATAACAAGGTAAGGTTAAGAATCAAATTTTATAATCCTAATCACCAATTAAGATATTTTGTTTTAAAAAGGGCAAAGGGTAAATGTGTATGTATAGTCAAACCAAATGGAAATAGCAGTTTTACTTATTAAACTTGGGGGTCTATTAAGTATCATTTGACAACTTTCATTTGCTATTTCACACCTCATCTAACTAAAATGATTTTTTATTTTTGTAGGTTTTTAAGGCAAGCCTACTATTTAGTCGATTCAGTTGAAATTAATAGAATTCCATACCATTTTGGTTTTTATTCCATGACCATAGCCTCAGTTTACCAAGTTACTCAAGTTTTGCATCATCTTATTAGGAAGCAAGGATTCATTGAATATGAAATGGTAACTATATAAAATATTAATTGTAATTGAATTAGAACTGTTAGAAGCTTTCTGCAGATGAGTAACTTGCTCAGAAAGTAGGGGGTTGCTTACTGGACTTTGGAGGTCTCTTTCAAGTCTGATTTTCTATTCAGGCTTCCTCTTGGTTATTTCTTCAATTAAAAGTATGAAATGACAATTTATTAACATTATATAAAAAACCTTTAAAAAGATGTCTAGATTTTAGCATTTTAACTTTTACTCCTTTATATTACTCCTTTATATTAATTACCTTTACCAATATAGTTCTCTATTATCAATTTTATATGGGTAACATATATCATAATTATCTGAAATATAGAGCATGGGGTACATGTAGTAGAGCAACTGTAAAATTAATTCCTTCTCTTAAATATTATCATTTGGAAAATAACTTAGAGATTTTCTGGATTTTTCAGTTAAATACTTTATGTTGTTAATTACTGAGTATCTACCATGTAAGCATCAGAATAAGTTTCATTATCATATAGCATAGGCTTTGCTGTTTTAAAAAATCAAAAGTTATTTTAGTAGTAAATGTTAGCTTACAATTTACCCACTTTAGAGTAGAAAGTAATAAGTACTTGATGCTTTAATCCCTGATTTGCTAAACCTGGGTAGTACAGGTGTTCTGCTTCAGATTTTTATAACAGATACCTAATTATTTTGGGCCAAAATAATATTTCATCTTTACTAGAATGCTCAGTTTGAGTGTAACCATATGCTGTTCTATCCCTACTCTCAGAAATGAAGGGGCAAATAATTTAAATGCATATACTGGACACATATATATATGAGGCACATTTAACAGGAAACAACCCTTTTGAACAAAATAAATAATGATATGTTCTTCTTAATATGTTTTGGAAAAGTTAGAAAAAGAAGTTTAAAAGTTTTGTTAGTTTGTCAAAAGTTAAGTCATGCCATTGTGATATGAAGGGACTTTGGTTAATAAATGGTAAGGCAAGTAGCATAAAAATTAAAATCTGATTCATTTTAAAGATGTACAAGTTATATATAGATGAGATCTACATATATATATAAAATATGTTTTTTAAAAATAATTTCAGAGAGAGGAAGCAAGAGGGAGAGAGAGATAGAAACATCAATGATGAGAGTCATTGATTGGCTGCCCTCTGCACGCCCCCTACCGGGAATCAAGCTCGAAACAGGGGCATGTGCCCTGACCGGGAATCGAACCTTGACCTCCTGGTTCATAAGTTGATGCTCAACCACTGAGCCATGCCAGCCGAGCTATAGATGAGATTCTACAAACAATTTAGGACCAAGTGAAAGGAAACTTTTCAACTTCATAAACATTTTAGTTTAAAATAAAATCTTGTTTATGCTACTTTTCCCTAGTCGAATTTACTGTGATTGTTGCACAAGAGTGGAATTAAATTGTACTAATGTAATGATATTTTCATATTTATGGACTCAAATATATTCTTCCCATTCAAATTCCAATTTCATAGTCTTTTTGGATAACTACAATAATTAGCGTTTGTGAACTGTGTATAAAATACCAGGTTTGTTAAAGGAATAAGTAAACAAGTTTCACCTAGGAATGATTCAAAAATAAAAGGAAATAAAAGATTTAATTTATTTAGAATATTTTGCATTTCATTTCATCTTCATTTCCCTTCAGGATTAAATGGTATTTAGTCTGCAAAGATTAATATTTGAAAGTTTGTGTCCTTACTTGAACCTTAAAATTGATATTAGTAGCCCCTTTATCAGTTATTATTGTATATAATACAGATATACTAAAGTATAAAAGCACAAAGCAAATGAACAATGAAATTTTCTCCTACAATTACTAGAAAGATAATTACAATGAAAGCAATATTCATAGATAGATATGAAATTGTTTCACTGCTTTCACAGGAATTAAATCCATCTTCTTTTGGTCATTGCCAATGTGTAATAGCAGTTGGCATGGTACACTGGCTTCACTATAATTAGAGACTTAATCAACTGGAGTCAATTTTCATTGGTAGTCTATCTCATCAAGTAACATTTATTGAGTATTTTATTTTGAGGCCCAAAGCCACTGTAATCAGAGATTGTTATAGGTCATATTTGGCATAGGTCAAAAATGAATATAACTTCTCATGAACATTTAATAAGGCATTTTAAATGCATAACAGAGAAATACTCTCTGATAATGAAGTTTTTAAAGCCTAATAGCTCTTGAGTGTTCTTTGGATACAAAGGAAAAACTATATGCTTACATATAATTATTTTAGTAATATGACTATTTCATTAAAGACAGTGATTAATGGTTGGGTACCAATGAGCGCGATTGCATTTGCCTTCTCTAAAAGAAACTTGAGTGTTGTCATTCATTTTGAGACGGTTGGAAGCATTTACCAGTCTAGATGGTACAGCAAAGTTGTACCTATAAAAGCCAAAGGAAGGATGGAAAGAGCAATCAACTGTTTCCTGAGCAATGAGGTTTGGTGATAAAATGTTTCCAGGTGCCTGTACTCCATACAACATTTGATTGGAAGAATTAGATTCTTGTAGACACTGCCCATTAAAGTCTGTGGATGAACCATTTTTTGAATTGGCAACCCCCAAGGAAGATGACATGGGAACTTCCATCATGAGTGGATTTAAAGATTGTGAACTGCTACTGCTTGCTAAATTTCCTGCAGCAGTCAAGAAAAGAGGCTGCTGTCGCCAAAAATTAGTTGGACAAATCTTGTAGCAAAGGGGCAGGTTGATACTGTGCAGGTACACCTCCAGACAAGACGTTCCAAGGGAACTTGTAGGTAAGTGAAATGTAGGTGGGGAACAAGGTGGAGAAAGCAAGGAGTTCAAAGGAGAGGGAGCCCCTCCACTAGAGGTCACTGGAGATGAGCCACCGCTTCCACCTGTGAATGACAATTCAGTCAATGAACAATGAACTTGATGTTTCTATGGAATCAGTAATCATGTCCATAACTATTGCTGCTTCATTCTTAGATTAGCTTTTCTGGCATGTTTTTTTTAACTTGTTTGGGAAAGAACATGCTTATTCCTGTGACCAAAGTTGAATATGGTATCTCTACTACTACCATCATTACTTTTAACACTACTATTATGTTTCATGTATTAAGTATTCACTATGCTCAAGAACAATGCTAGGCACTTGAGCAACATTTATCCAGTGAATTATAAAATATGACCAAGAGCCAATTATATCTTACAAATATAAACTAGTATTTTTATTTTCAACTTTAAAAAATATATGTATATATATTCTGCTTAACCCCTTCACCTTCTTTCATCCAATCCCCCAAACCCCCTCCCTCTTGATTAAATTGAACAAATTGGTTGTTTGGAATTCTATAGAAAGCTACAGTCTGATAAAAAAAAATCAGTGCACATGAAAGTAATCTTTACAAAGTAAAACAATACAATATACAGATGATGTATTATAGTCTTGTACACTTGAATCCCATATAATTTTATTAACCAATGTCACCCCAATAAATTCAATAAGAATAAATAAATAAAATATATTTAAATGCATTAGATTTTTCTTCTTATATGAAAAGAGACACTTCCATGGTGCACTATATCAATAGTTAAAGATGATTTTGCAGTTTAAAAAATATTGAGATAAAAGTGAAAATATTCATATCAATGTTGTCAGGTGCTCTTTTATAGTTGCCTAGCATCTACTAAAGTTAGGGATAAAAATAAGGTCCATGAACATCTAGACTCTACATCTTATTTTTGTGAGTGTTTAAATTGTAAAGGTTTGCTATTGACTGAACTTGATCAAGTTTGTGTGTGTGTGTGTGTGTGTGTTGCTGTTGTTTTTCTATTTTGTGTACATGGGCATAGGCTAATCCTTTATTAACAGGGTAGCAAATATCTTTTATAACATTCAAAATTATTTTTAAAAATTGGTACCCGTTTTATTTGCAATTTGAAAGCATTCTGGACATCTTAAATAATTAAGAAAATGTGTATTTGCAATTATCAATTAATTATCTTTAGCTTTTTTCTTTATTTGTGCATTTGTGTTGACTTGGATCTTTTAAAAACATGCTGCCTCGATGCTATTAAAGTCTTAATATCAAATATAAAATATTTGTCTATGCAATCCTCCAGACCAAATTAATATAGTCAATCCAGTGAAATATTTTACCAAATGATTAGAATTCATCTCTTCATATTTCAATTGGTTGTTATGGTATTGAATAAAACTCAACCTAACTGTAATATTGATTATTTTCTCAAGGTAATAGTAACCTTGAGAAACCTTGAGTTGATATTCAAAACCAAACAATTTTAATGGAGTAAAGACAAAAGGGGTAAAATAACTCCTTGTTGCTTTCAGATAAACTCTTCTATATATTGTTAAGTATCAGAGCAAATGAAGGTATACATTCTTCCACGAGAAAGCCTGCATTGCCTAATTCTGATTATTATTTAGTCATGTAATGTCCTACCTGAGAACAAATACATTACAAATATTTTAAATGCTTGTGGTAATTAAGCTCATTGTGATGGTTTAGTATTGTTTTAACATTTATTTTTCCTACTTACAACAAAAGAAAAAGTAGAGCTAAGCATGGTAAAAAATTTTAATTAATTTAATTTAATGCAAGCCATTTTAACATGTGCTAAATGTTTCTCATAAAACACAAAGTATTTACTTCAATATCTAACATATTTGGAAATAAGTCCACAAATACACCACAGGCAGATCCTAAAGAATATGAATAGTAAGATGCTAAAGAATCTAGGTGAGATCTGGAGATCTCAGGATGCACTATAACTCAAGAAGACAGAAATCAATAAATCCACCATTACCATGTCTCTGCTCGTTTCCTTCATGCCATTTCCTTTCCCTTTTTGCCTCTTACCTCCACATCAAGATAAATATATACCCACTTTCTTGTAAACACACATTTTCCAGCATGTACTTATTCCCTTGTGTAGTATTTGGTATATAGGCTTTGTCTGTAGCTATTTCATTAACATTTAAAAATAAATATTAATAAAACTTTTCTTACTTTGTGTGTCTGTACCAAAAGTTTTAAAATCCAGAGGGACAGAAGGCTTCCATGGGTAGGTCTCTAAAATCCCTTCCAATATACCCCTGGAAAAGAGATTCAACCTTCAGCAAGTCCAGAATGCTATTCCTGAAAAGAATGGTTTATGTAAACTTTTGAGTTATTTGTTATAGTTTTGAGGAGTGAATATCTGAAATATCATTCTTTTATAGCTAAGCTTATAAATACAATCCCAAGTAATTATTCCTGAATAAAAAACTAGAATAAAATACGTGAAGCTAGAATAAGCAATATCTTAAAAATGGATTCGGGAGAGAGTGGGAGGAGGCAAAGTTTTGGAGACAAAAAATCTAGGTCCATTTCCTACTGTCTAGTAGCTACAAAATTTAGGGCCTCTGTGTCTCTGACTCACACTTTTCTGTAATACTTGTGAAAAGGGCTATATAAGTATTAGATGTGATTGTTATGTTGCTTACTTGTTTCTTCCAGGATCTCTAAATCCCTTAGCAAAAGGATTCCTGTCTATTTTCAGTTTGGTAATCTATGAATTCAAAAGAGAGAGAAAGATAAAGTCACTGCCTTAGTAATAATACTATTACCATTGCTTTTAATGGTTACAACAACCACAAAACATTTTTCAACATGTACTTAGGCATATTAAATAAATGCAAGCATATTTCTAAGTCAACTTTAGAATGGTTATCTTCTTTCTCTTCTGGCACACTGTTTTCTTCCTTTCTTAATCAGAAGATCCACACAATTCACAATCAAACTTGCCTTGGTAAAAATGCAGTAAGACTATGTTGTTGTTTTATTTAATCAAGGAAATTAAATCCAAGCAGTGCAACTTGCCTCTATTCCACAAGTCCCTCTGGGGCCACCACTGCTTTACCTGCTGGTTTTGGTAAGCTGTTACCGTGGTGAACTCCGTTTCTTTAAAGGAGAATGTTTTAACCCCTTCACTGGGCAGGGACTGAATCCGGGACAGGTTGACTCTGCTGTCCTGCTCCATCACATGCACACGGGGCTTGTACTTGTGCATGGACTGCAGAATGATCTGGAGGAGAAATGATCAAATGCTGCCTAGAAATTGGCTTCCCTTCCACAATACTGTCCTCCTCTCTTCAGCAACCCCAACCTGCCTACACACAAAAGTAAAGCTAAACCAGAAAGGCTAGGCTAACCACACACAAAGACTTTTCTGTGTCATTTTGCTCCAGGCAGAGGCCCTCAGGGCTAAGGGGTTTCTGGCCCAAGACATCAGACCAGCACCAGGCAGCAGTGATTCCATTTCCAGATGGAGCTTTTTCTTACTTCCAAATGTGGGTAACCACATGATGTATCTAAGTGTCACTGGGGGCCACCACTGCTCCCTGCCACAAATTCCTTGAGCTAATGGTAACTAGTAGGAAAGCACCTGACATTCCCCACCTCTTAATTTCTGGAGATTGCCTATTTCCTTGTGTGGCTGTCATAAGGCCAGACTGGGCAAAGAAGGGGAAGGGGTGCAACTGAGCAAAAGCTCAAGATGGAGATGGCTTAAAAACGCCATCCATGGGGGCGGTTGGAGAGGAGATGTCTAACACACCATGCTATGCTGAAGGTGCCCATCTACTGGAAGGCAATCAGAGCCCACAGTGATTGCCTGGGTGGCTGAGGTGCCAGAAAGCTCTTTGAAACATTCCCTTTCACTCTCCCAGTACAGGTATCTAGTCTTAAACAAGTGTCATTTGATCCTCACACTCCTTTAGCTCACCATTCCCAACCCCTAGCACTCTCAGCCTCAGCCACCAAAGGTTATAAGAGCTATGTTCATTATAGTACCAGAACTTGAACAATTCTTAAAGGCCACAACTACATCTAGAAGAAGCCTCCTTGGCATATAAAGGACAACCTGCCCGCTGATGTCCTAGCATCTCCTTTCCTTCCTTAGGGCAAAGGATTGCACACTTACCTGGCCTTTGTCATCCATTTCATTGTTGGTTAGTTTCACGCGATCAAAGCTGATGATCTGCTTCATCCAGGTCTCTCCAGAGCAGGGTGAATCCGGGTGAACATAGAACCTGGGAGTGATGTAGGAGTGGTCTGTATTCCTGGCTACCATCCACTGAGAGCTGTGATACACATACCTGAAAAAGGTGCTCAAAATGTAACTTTAGGTGCAGCCAGCCAAAGCCAGGGGCATGGGAAGAAGGCAGTCAAGATCTATTCCAAATGGCCTCAGCCAAAGTTTGCCAGCTAATCCCAAAGGAAACTAGTAGAGTATCTAACTTTATTTCCAAAGATCATTCAGGGACAGAAAGCAAACTGCATATAAGCATATGCCATTCAAATGCAATAAAGTGCCAGGACAAGTATGATGTCATGGGATTTTAGAGTCTGGTTTGTATTTCCTCTCAGAAACCACAACAGAAATTGATCTAACCCATTTTACTGCATAGAGACACTAGAAAAATTCTCACGCTTTGGGCCACAAGTGTTAGGGAAGAAGCAGAGGGGGTGACGAAGGTGTCTGTCCAGTTCACAGCCAAGAGTCATCATGGAAGCCTTTTGCCAACAAGGCTTCACATCAGAATATCCCAAAGTATCTGCCCCATGTGGCCTCTGGGCTGATTTTTATACTATTTCCATTTTCAACCGCTCAGTTGTTCTCAGCATTCTCAAGACAGCTCAAACAAGAGGCAAATAGCTTGTTCCGCAATTTCCAGGTTTTGGTTCCAGCTGGTTCTTGAGTTGCACCTTCTCATTGACCTTCAAATCCAGCCCTGGGCATGATGCAAGCTGTCTCCTAGAAAGGCTAGAAACCCACTTCAATAGAAAGTTCACAGCTCTCAGCTCACAGCCAGAGTGCAGTGGCTCCCGCACAACCCCCATAGCTCCTGAACCAAAGTGCTCCAGACCTGCACTTCCGGCTTTTTGGTTTTCTGTTAATTCTGGACACTTTTAGCCAGCCCTAAGTAGAGTGCTTACAGCAAGAGGAAAGTTTTCTTGTACTCTCTGCAACCTGACTGCTGCCTCAGGAAAGAGGCTAAGAAAGAAAAGATGGACCTAAGTGCAATAACTGCTAGGCTAGCGTTGGACGGCAAATCAGGGCATCGTTCCAGGACCTGCTGCCAAAGTACCACAATCCATAGCCCAGTATGGACCCAGAATCTCAAGCATTTCTCCCCCAAATTCCATCAAACAGACATCTGAGCCCATACCTTCTGCAGTTTGCACAGTCAAGGCCAGAGCAGTGGGTAGACTAGAGGTTTGGGAGACACTGAAGCACCAAATGGCAGCTCTTTCCAGGAAGGAGAGGAAAAAGGAGGAAACAGTCTGAACTCTGGTTTGAGAAAGAAAAGTAGACTTCTAAAACCCACAAGAAAGCAATCCCACTTCCCCTACCTATAGTAGAGTTTTCAAAATAGCACTTTCAGGTTCCAAAGACCAGAATCCTTATTCTCAGACTGAGCCTGTGGTACCCTCCTTTGGGCTTGGTTACCTATAGCGTTTAGAATCCATGGGCACCACATCCATGGCCACATAGTACTGCTTCCCTGGGTCCAGCCCTTTCACCTTGACCCGAACAGAGGGGAACATCCGCCTGTGGAAGAGAAATAGTGACTGACCGGGTGCATTTAAAGACATTTCAAGCATGGGAGGGTTGGGGTCAAATGAGAAGTGAAGGAATTCACAATACTCTTCCCATTCTAGGACAGGTTTAGGGAATAACATTTGTTACATGAAGAAAGACTGTTGGTTATATACTTGATTGAATAAGTTCAGAATTTCTGACTGGAAGAGAATATCCTTAAAGCAAGGCTTTTTTCACCCCACTCCCCACTACCACCATAAAAAAGCTATAGAAGAGAAAGTAAGAGAGAAATAACTATGCTCCTTTCTCAAGTTTTCAGTGGAACTTTTTGCGAGGCAGATTTGAGAAAGACTGAAATTAGGAGGATTGATACACACAAAGTTGCCTAGCTGCCCCTGAAATGTTGCCTCACAGCAGAAGGTCAAAGCAGGAAAGCACCTCTAACTGGCCTGGGCTAGGGATGGTGTTTTGGGAAGTTTCTAGGTGGGATATTGTCCTCTGATAACTGTGAGGCTTTAATGGAGTGCCCTGGTGACACCTTAAGATGTGGGGTTGGAATCTGGCACCTACCTTGGCAGGTCTAATTTTTGTCATATATCACACCAGGAGAATGAGTTCTTGGGGTCCCAGTGTACAGAAAAGAAGCACAAAGCCCAGCTGGGAGTGGCTCAGCAGTTGAGCATCGACCTAGGATCAAGGAGATCGTAGTTCGATTCCCTGTCAGAGCACATGCCCGGGTTTTAGCTTGATCCTCTCTCGGGAGCAGCGGATCAATGACAACTCTCTTATCATTCATGTTTCTGTCTCTCTCTCTCCCTCTTTCTTCCTCTCTCTGAAATCAACAAAGGTATATTAAAAAAAAAAAAAAAGAAAGAAAGAAACACAGAGCCATTAACATGGGCCAGACACATCTTAGTCTGGTCAGTTGAGAGGCAGTGGCTTTCTAATGCCTGTAGGGGTGGAGACCTGGGGGTGGGGGGAGGGAGAAATGGGTGTTAGAGCGCAAAACTGGAGGCATCACTTCTTATAAGAGCGGTACAATACGGGCCTACTGTGTGTGGCCTTTAAACAGCTTGGGTGGACCCGAACCTGCCAGCCTTGGTAATAATCATCTCAGTCCCAATGGCATGGAATCTGTTCCACAGCTCGGATCCTTGAAGCTCCACTTGGATAGCATCTTTTTCTTCCAGATTTTCACTGTCGTTGAGGC